GATTCAATATGCTGCATATGCTGTGCTACACCCCCCATTAAGAGATTCAGGCTAATTCACTTTCTGCTGAACTCCAACCAGCCTCTGCAATTTGCTTCACCAAAGGAAAGAACAGAGAGGTAAAGCCCAGGGGCTCTTGAGGAATCTCTTAAAATGCTTTCTCCAGGGCCCTCCCTGGTGGCGCAGCGGGTTAAAGCACTGCACTGAGAAGCTAAAGCCACTTCCCCATGAGTTCGATTCCCGCTTGCCCCGGAGGAGACCACATGGTGTGGCAGACCTCTCCTGACCCGCCCGCTGCTCCCCTCAGCAGTGTACTTTGTTGATCTGCCTGTTCTGCTCCCCACTCTGTCTCTGGTGAAGTCTTTCACTGCCCCTGAGTCTCTGGCCTGTACCCCAGTTCTGTATGTACAAATAAATAAATCTTTAAAAAAAATGCTTTCTCTAAGGACCCAAAATGCCTACGTGAAGAGTAGGTTTCCCAAGAAACTACCGCGCTGGTTGGTCATGGGGGTGCTCTGTTGCCCCACCTGAGTCAGGCTCCTTGCCATTCCCACCAATCCTCCTGATCCTCCAAGTCAAACGAATACTACTGACAGACCTTCGTCAATACAGTGAAAGAAGGCTTGCATATACCCAAAGCCACCACTTAACAAGTCACTCTTGTTGCAGAATTGCCAGCAACACAGCACTTGGGCCATGGGCTACTGCATGTACTTGTTTTAAACTTGGGTTAGCTTATTATACAGCAATAGGTAACTAGAAATCATGCAACAGAAGATATGAGTCAAAATGCCACAAGTCTAATATCTATAAATCTGCAATAAGTGGACCACTGTTGAAGCCCATTCCTTATGTTACTGTACAATAACAGACATTAGATAAGGTCAGTCATACACAGTTCACAAACTGATGGTACTTACAGTAAGTAAATACCATGCACAAAAATGCTCATATCCAGCTAAGGAGACTGGATTTTACTGTAATCCTCCTTATTCAAAAATTTTAAGATTTCTACAAAAAACCTGACATTTGTAGTCTTGGAAATAAAGCAAACTAACCAAAATAATAGTTGTCTTAGATACAGTGAAAGAAGGCTTGCATATACCCAAAGCCACCACTTACAAGTCACGCTTGTTAAAGTGGTATTTGGGTTATAAAGAACATTAATCTTCTCCAAATTCACAAACTAAGTATTTTTTTTAATATTTTATAAAATTGTCTATAGGGACAATTTATTTTTCCTTGCTTCCATATGGATAAGAAAAATATTTAGAAATGTGTACTTGTTTTTTTCCAAATAGCCTAAGGACCTAAGGGAAGGGGAATAAGTCTGTTATGAAAGTAAGTCCTATGGAGCATGTATGTACAGCAAATGTTTTATTCCTTTCCTCTTTGCACTGACCCATAACAAGTTTAGCTTGTAACTAAGTATCTATCAATGCTTCTTTGGCCTAAGGGGAGTACAAGATTTCATAATTTTCTAAGTTTTTCTGGAATCCATTTTCCAAATGTCAATTTGGATTCAAGTTCTTCCATGAAAATCAAAGATTCTAAAGAAACATGGAAAATATGTTTGTTTTAAACAATGTATCTTCTTGATGAGGCTTCATGTGTAACAAATGCTGAGCATAACAAATGTCAAGTCTAATAGTTTGAATTGATATTCTAAACAATGTTGGCCAGACGTCACCTGGTGTGAACTGCACCTACTTTCATAAAGATCACAAAGATCAAATCTGCATTACAGCTTTTATTTTACTTCTGAATATCACCTTTTTAGAATACTAGCAAGTCAGATCATTATTGAACAGACATATTTAATGTCCTGATCCTCAAGTGGAATATTTGTGTAAAAAATAAAGCCTGTGTTTTGTGAAAGAACAGACTGTCCTAGAACTGAAAAGGCTATCTGAAAGGCAAAATGTATATAGTGAGGGCAAATAAAGTACTGGCATTTTAAAAGTTGGGTTAAATCAGAAATTCTATTTTCCTTTGTACAGATGAAATAAGTATTGTTTCTACCCTAATTGGAAGCAAAATCCAGGTAGACTAACAAAATAAAAACTCATCAAAGAGCTGAAGTCACTGGTTAATCAAGTGGTATGAAATCCATTGAAATGCAGGCCTCTGCATGGAGAAGTGAGAAAAGAGGACCTGCTCAGAAGGAGCAGAATACCAAGGAAGAGATGCTGGCTTCCTTATATAGAAGAGATGTATCAAGCATCAGGCATAACATTTCTACTACTGTACACATTTGGTGATTAAGCACAAATTACCTGATATGTAAAAAATCAAAGGAAAAACCTTTACATTACTAAAGGAGAAATAATCACCAGAACAGAATCATTGTTTTAAAATTAGAAATGGACTGTACAGCAACTATGATTAATATGCTAAAGACTCCAGAAAAAATGCAGACAACATGCAAAATGCAAAAGCAATGAGACATTTCAGCTGATGGATGATATTATAAACTAAATTGTATCTTCAAAATTTAAACATTGAAGCCCCACTCCCCAATGTAACTGCTTTTGGAGATAAGGCCTTTAGGGAAGTAACTGTGGTCAAGTGAGATCAAAGGGTGAGGGTCTAATCCCATAATGTTAGTAGCCATGTAGAAAGATGAAGTGTCACCAGAGTTCTCTCCTCTGTGCACACAGAGAAGAAGGCCACATGAGGATACAGCAATGAAGTGGTCATCTACAAGACAGGAAAGAAAACCTTCCCAGACTCCAATCCTGGGAGAATCTTAATCTTGTATTTCTAGGCTTCAGAACTAGGATATAATTTCAGTTGATTTAGCCACTCAGTCTATGGCTTTTTTTTTTCCCCATGGCAGTTCTAGCCAACTAATATACAAATATACAAACTAATATGACTATAATGCTAAATGAAATGGAAATGCAAGAAATAAAAAGCATAGAGAGATAAAGAATGACTTTGAATAGCTCATCAGTAGACCCACGATGACTGAAATAATCATTGAACTTGAAGATAAGTCCATAGAATTTACACAAATTTAAAACTCAAAGAGGGATAGAAAATAAAGGAGCATCCATGCATTATGGGATAAAATGAACAATCTAACGTAAATGTGCACTTTAATTTCAAAAAGGAGAAGAGAGATAATGCAAAATTTTTTTGAATAATGGTCAGATTTTTTTAAAAAACATGATAGACACACTATATAGACATAAAAATCATATATTTCTAAGGATAAACTCCACAAAGTTATTAAGTTTTTTATGTTTATAATATTTACATCCTGGTCTTTAGGTGGAATATCTGTATAAGAAATAAAATCTGTAGTTTGTGAAGGAACACACTGTTCTAGAGTTGGAAGAGATATTCTATAAGGTTAAATTCTAAGGATAACTTTCACAAAGCTATTAAACAGGAACACATGCATAACACATCATGCACAAAACACACATACACTCATCATGCACAAAACACACATACACTCACACACACACACACACACCCCTCACATACATGATATATGACAGTCACACTACTGATAGAAAATTTTGAAAGCAACCATGAGAAAAAGAATCCACAAAAGTGGAATTAATGAAGTCATAAAAACCATAAGATAATGAAGCTGGGTGTTCAAAGTACGCTAGGAAAATAAAATTGTCATTCCAAAATTCTATACCCATTGAACATGTCTTTAAAGGTGATACTGCAAAGATATACTCTATCCAAAATACAGACAGGATTATAACAACAGACAAAATTTCAATCTACACAACATAATGTGTCAAGAAAATCCATTTTCTCTCTTAGCTAATGCACTGCTAAAAACCATGCAGTTTTTATCTGAACTCATAAGCTTCAAAGAATAAGTCTTTCAATCAGGACCTTGGACAGAACTGGAAAGCAATCAAATTCCCATGTGCTGCCATCTTTGTCTGGCATCCTGCCAAAAAGTGTCTTAAATGAGTTAGTATCTATGTTTGGAAAGACATTGCTTATATTTATAAACATGGTTATTGGGGAAAACTTCATAATAGGAATAGGAATGTATAGATGGCAGTTTCTAATTTTATAATTAAATGTAATGGTGCAATGAATGGGGTCTCTTTATTGGAACCAAAAGTAACAATAATGATAATCAGAGAATTCAAATAAAATTTTAAAATTAATCTTATGTATGGCCTGGTCTAGTAAACAACATGGACTGAGGGCCTAATTGTTTAGACAATGTCTTATACTTTATTGCAGTGCTTATTAGATTGTTCCAAGTTCTGCTAGCTGCAATCTCTTCCACTTTTGACAATAGCATATTACCAGAAATTGTCTACAATCTATATCACTATTAATTTATCCTTTTAAATTATATTCTTCAGGTATTCTGTAGTCATAAATGAAACCAAATGTGTTTAGCAGATGACCAACACAGAATGACAGACAAAACAATACAGGCATGTATTCATTAAATTCATATTTGGATTTGGAGAAGTCTAAGGATATCAGAGCCATCTAGGAGCACATGTATAACTGAAAAAAAAAATGTCCATAAACTACAAGACACATTAGTTTTATTATAAATAAATATATATATATATATACATGATTTATATGTGATGTAGATAGAGTTGACACAGCCAGTAGACTATACTTCAGTGTTTAAGCTTATAATTATTTCATTCTGTTCTTACTATAATTCTAATTTTGTATTTTTTTTTATTTTTCCTATTTTGAAACATCATTATGAATGCCATATTAAGAAGTAGAGCCTACTGTTCTGCAGTAACTTTTGTAATGCCTTTTAAAGCATTCAGAAAAAGAACACTATTGAGAGCTACATGTTACCATTACTATCACCTTGATCCAGGAAATCAGTGACTTGTTTAGTTAAAAAGCATAAAAAAGAAAATCTTTTGCAGCTGCATACTAATTCAATCCAATTACATAAACTTCCATCTCATTTCCATGGGTTAGCCATAAAAGGCAGAGGTGGTCAACTTAACAGAAAGAATGATGTGTTCACTTACTAATTTGATTCGGTGGCCAGGGGTGGCGCTGATTTCCCATGTACATTCCTTCCTGCTTGGATACTTGTCTGGCCAGTTGGGACTGGTGATGAGGCCACTGGGATTGTGGATCTTCTGTTCACACTCAGCTATGCCAATAACGACAATTATCAATCAGTGTGTGGAAATCTAGCTCATCTTGAGACCAGAAAGAAAGCAATCTATTTACCCACTAGCTTGCTGAAGATGTTCTTGAATACTAACTAATCATCACTCCAGTCTCTGTTATCATATTCGTCTGCTTTGGCAAACATGTTGCTGACATAATCAGGCAATGTTTGTTTTCTTACTCACATGAAATTAAGTGTTTACAATGAATTATATATGTGTCTGAAGAGAATAAATGCCTAATTTAAACTGTTGAATCTGTAAGTTTAGATATTTCAGAACTGTAAACATTGACAAGTAAGGGTAGAAACACTTAGTATGTTACAAACATTAAAAACAAAAATCAGTAGATGACCCTATTTTCAATTCATTTATATTAACAGAAACTCCCTTTATAGCTATTAAATATCACTAACCCAACTTCTGAATGCGCTGTATTTATTTTCTCTTGCCCTTCATTAAAGTATATACTTGGATACGTACACCATAATTTTAGCAGTTAAAGTAAATTTACTCTAACTTCACCAAGGTAAAATGAAGTGCAAAGGGAGAAAATGAGGAAAATAGCTACCAGCCATGGAGATGGCTTTTTAACTAATTTCAAAGAATCTCATTCAATTAACATGAAATTTCTTTTAGCTATTTTACAATTAAAATAACTTCATTTTCAATGATATCATTTCACACTCTTTCATATCAAACTTAAGAATCCCTAATAATCTCACGCTATGTTCACTCTATGTAATTTATGAAGCAGCAGCCTAAACATCTTGGTTTAGACTTAGTGTTATTTTTCCTATATTGTGCATCCCATAAGAAAATGTAATTTTTTTCTCTGAAAAGTTTTGAGAAATTTCTTTGTATAAATTCTTTACTCTATGGTGAGAATGCCTGGCATAACTACAGGACTGCACTAAATAGGGGTGAATTGCCCAAAGCTAATATGCTATCATTACATTCCTTACTACCAGAACTTCAACATCATTGTGCTAGATTTCTGTAGGGACATTTCAATTTATAACAGAGAAATGCAAAAAAGAAGAGGTGAAATGCAGCTCCCTTTAAACAGCACAGGATCATGTAGCAACACAATACCTTTAAAATCTAGGTCCTAAGTTGACAAGGATTCCTAAATTCTAATATCCCCATTTTTTTTTTTTTTCATATGAAACAGAGTCCCCGGGATCTGTTAGAGAATTAACAGGTCAAAGGCAAGGGGTCTCAACAAAGCTGTAGAAGGAGCTCACAATAAAAATGGTCTTTATTGGGGGTACTTGGGTATCATTCTATTTAAAAGGTAGTTTTCTATAAATGCCTTTCTTGAAAGTGTTTTCTGTAATGAACAGACTTGGGATATCTAAACTATATTCACTGCCTGTGATTGACAGACTACATGAAGATTCTGTACAAGCTATCTCAGGCTTTCTTTTCAATTACTTCCCTATCTGCAAAAGAACTGGGTCCATCACTCAGCCTATTGGTGAAATAAGTTATTATAATGAGCTACAGATGTCAAATTCCTCATGGGTTTATGCTCACACGTGAAAATTAAAAAGATGAAAAACTGCCTGCTTATGATTCTGAGCAAAGTATTAACTTACTGAAAAAAATGTTTGAATGTAACAAGGGTCCATTAAGAATATTCAGCACTATTCAAACACCCATACAAAGATTTGTTCTGACTGTAGTGCTACTCAGTTCACTGCCAACATTTATGTGCTAGTAACTTAAATTATAAAATCTGCCTTTGCATATTTTTTCTTTCAAAATAGACATAAATCTAAGAGAAGGAGAAAATCCAGAAATAAACTCTCAAAAGAAGAAATTAGAATTGAGTAACTATTCTTGTTTCCTATCTAGATCACATGGACTGAGGAGATTAAGATAAATGTTCAGATGAAATCTTGGGAGTATTATAAGGTCTTGTGGTCAAAAATGGGTTGGCTTCTATTGTACTACTAGTATGTTCTGTTACACTTTTTGTTTTTTGGCAAAAACCATGACTGAAAACCTTAAAAAGCAAGCAATGCCTACTACTTTCAAATGTCTTTTCTCTGGGAGGCATTTGACTTTGATATTCTTGATATTTAAAGTGGCATTGCTCCATTAACACATATATAAGATACTTTGGGAGGGAAAGTAAATCAAACGCAAAACATTTAGCAGAAGTTAACTCAAAATATGGAGCCTGTTATAAGGTCCACTCGACAAAGACCCAGGGATAATTTGATTTCTGGTTTCCAGATGGCATCGTGGCAGCTTCTATGCTTACTATACAAAGTTATTCTAATGCCATCCATGTGTGACGAGCAGAACCTTTAGGTAACATGAGGTTTCCAACAGTATGACTTGGATCTTTGAACACTGCACATATATATTTTTTGACATCTGGATAGTCAACAATGATATTACTCATTGATACGATTACCTCTGCTTGGAAATAGTGCCTGACTCAAACTGCATGAAATTTTAGAGGTTGTTAAAAAAGGAAAAGAACACTCCTTTCATGTCTTACCTTCCTTGCAGTCATGTTTGTTTTCATGCAGCACAAATCCGTTACGGCACTGACATACGTAGCTTCCCACAGTGTTGACACACTCATGTTGACACCCGCCATTATCCTTGGAACATTCGTCCTTGTCTAGCAAAAAGATAACCCCATCATTTAGTAAGAAGCTTTAAAAACAAAGGACATCAAAGAAAGGTCATTTAGTTGTTGTTAACAATGGCAAAGAATAAACCAAGTCACAGCTCTCCCTGTACCCACCAACAAAAAATAATATAGTGTGTCTTTGTTTCTCCCACTTCTTTAGCTTAGAGACTTGTATCTTGAGTTCTGTTGCTGACATAACACATTGTAGTGCACTTTAAATCCTATGCTAATTTAAAACTCGTAAGCAAGAAGGAGGAAATCAACTGATCAACTAATCCTAATCGTTTATTGCCAATTTTTAAAAGTGAACTTAAAATTGTGAATACCTTGAGTAAATGCAAAAAAAAAAATGCACTTAAGTGGAGAAAAATCTTCCCATGGTGTATAGACATAGCTAAACAAGGTTTCACAATTCATGTGTAATCACTTTAAAAAAAAATTCTCAGTATAAATAACTACTGTAGCTTTTTTTTCATTAATTTTGCAGTTAGGCTTAGCATTAATGAGTCTTGACATTTTATAACATCTTAAGACACAAAAAGGCATCCTTAGATTATTATAAAAGAGACAAGGGGCTTATATATTTAAAACAAATCTACACTGGCAGAACAGTTTATTAATAAGAAAAGGACTTTTGGTGTGCTGAAAATACAGGTTATAGGAAGAAATATGAGCTTTAAGAAATAGTCACCAAATTCACTACAGGGAAATAAGCCAAACTAAATTAACAAGCAGTCAATCCAGTGAGAGGTTTCAGCCACGTGCTGTGTCACTCAGCTGTCACTCCACACCTGGGTTGTCCATTAAAGTCACAACAGATTGCTCCTGACACACATATATGCTGACACATCGCTCAGATTTTCATCACTCCCATGGCACCAAAAACAAAAGGGACACATGGCAGTCATATCAAAGGTGAGAGTTAGATTGAATTCAAATTACACTGTCAACTGATTGTTCTAGAGAGAATTATTGAGTTAGTTCGTGGTAGTCCGCAAGTAGAGAAGGATACACTTACTTTTTGATTAAACAGATACCCAGCCCATGAAAACAGGTTTAGGATCTGATAGTAATTTTTTTAGTGTGAATTTAATTTTTTTCACTCCTTGATAACATGAGACACACGCATGCTTTAGGGATATGTTCATGCATTGACCGTATCAGTACACTCCAAATATATACAGGCAATGCCAGCTTTAAAGCAATCAGAAAAGATCAATGATTTTTATGTTCTCTACTTATTCTTACACTTTTAATATTCTATGAGGACTATGAGAACCCAACAAAAACTAACAATAAATTATTATTCCCTGATAGAGCATTAAACATCAAAAGGTATAAAAACATCAGAAGTCAATAGAGAATAAGACTTATAAACTTAATTTCAAGAGAATGGCTCTCCCTAGTGGTGTATTGAGTTAAAGTGCAGCATTGCTAAAGTGGCTGCAGCAGCTTGGTATGAGTTCCAACCCTGTCCCAGAGGTGATCCACATGGCACAGCAGACATTTCCAGTTTCACCCGCTGCTTCCCTCAGCAGTGTATTCTTTTGATCTGCCAGTTTTGCTACCTTACCTGTCTCTGGTGAATCCTCTCATACAGTATTGGGGTATAGGCCAGAGGTGCAGGGGGCGGTGAGAGGATTCAACAGAGAGAATGGGGAGCAGAACAGTCAGATCAACAAAATACACTGCTGAGGGGAGCAGCAGGCAGGTCAGGCAAGGTCTGCTGAGTCATGTGGATTACCTCCGGGGTGGGGATCGAACTCAGGTGAAGTGGCTTTAGCTTCTTCGTGCTGTGCTTTAACCTGCTGTGCCACCAGGGAGGGCCTAAATCTATTATTTTAAAGTAACTTTCCAGAGGTTCTTTACTTTAGAAGGTTCAGAAAAGCTTCCTCATGCATAGACATAGCAGGACATTTTATTTGTACTAAATAAAAGATTCCATTAAAAATTGCTAAGACCAGAATTATTCTGAAATAGACACAGAGTTCCTAAGAAAATATTCATATAAGTATTGCTTGATATACCCAAAATAAAGCCCCATGGAGTGAATTTTAGTTGTACTTTAATTCAGGAAGACTCTTGATAATAAGGTGGAAATCTAACATTTTAAACAAAGCAGTTTAGTGAAAACTATTCCATATTTGCACTGACTGCTAAACAGATCCGCTGCTCAGTGACAAACCCGAATGTGTCAGGCAATGCCGGAATTATACTTCTACCTGGACCTGTTTGATTGTCCTATGGGAGAAATATGAATATGCTAAAACGCAAGCAAGCACACAGGTTATCGCTGTGTTTTCAAATGCATACTCATTTCATGTAGAGACAATACCAATACAGAAAATATATTTGTACATTTAAGCTTCATTCTAGTGGAAATCTCAAGTCACTGCCTTATATTTATAAAGGGGGTAATTGTTTTAAGACAGGATAGAATACAATCTGACTAGTGATGTTAACTAAAGAGAAGTCAATTTGAAAGTAAGCTAAGATTCTTTTAATGGTCTTTTTATATCTGATTATGCATATTTCTGTTGTGATATAAAATATCACAACAGAGTAAGTTTTAGCAGAAAATAAAAGGAGAAAGATAAGTTTTAGCAGAAAAGAAGTTTTAGCAGAAAATAAAAGGAGAAAGAGGAAGAAGAGGGTGAGGAGGGAATAGAATTTATATAGTCATTATTATCTAAGTTTCCATTTTTTACTACTTTTAGTGATGCAACATTGATTTAGAACATTGTATATAGAGACAGAGGATCACACTGTTAGGTATTTGTCACCATCACACCACTGTTCAGTCACTGAAGTTACTAATGGCCCCATTTGCCGGAGTCTCACTAAGCTCTCGTTCTTCGCCACCTGCGTCTGCTGACCTCAGTTCTCCAGTCAGATTTCTAGAGTTGGTTACTGGTTGGTTGTGCTGACACTTTCTTTTGTTTCTCTATATTCCATACATGAGCAATACTACTGCATATTTGTTTTTCTCCTTCTATTTGTTTTCTATTAATTTTAGATTCCCAGTTTATTTCCTGCCCTCATCCCGCTTCTGATGTTGCATGAGAAAACCAACAATTAAGTTATCAATTAAGTTATCAAATATATTTCTAAAATACACTTATGAGTTAATCAAGGTTTAGTTAAAATTAAAAATTGCCCTAACAGCAGCCGAGGAAAGCAGCCCAGCAAAGTCCCATGTGTCAAATAGTCAAATGAAAAGAGAAAACTTCAGTAAATATTGAAAACCCTAAAAATAATCCAATGCTTTACATCATGCAGACAAAGGAGATTATTTATCTCAGTATTTTAATGAGTATAGTAAACTTACTTTTGAAAATAATTGAATGTAAATAAAATTGTGAGCTATT